CCACGTTTTGATTTGTGTTTTTACCTTGGTAGCTGGGAGGATCATTGCAAACGTACCCTTCAGGTGGATGCTCCAGCGGGTTTCTGGTCCTTGCCCCATGCATCCTGCTGCGTGGGTGCTCGCTGCGTGGCAGGGAGCTGGGCAGCGGGGGCGGGAGTGGGGAATAAAGGCAGCGTTTTTGGGGAGGGGGAGTGGAGGCAGGGTTTTCTGTCCTTTATTAAAATGAAGGAGTAGCTGAGGTTGGCAGAGACCTCCGGAGGTTGCTCCCCAGAGCTGGGCTGCGCTCAGGGCCCCAGGGAGAATCGGTTCCCCGGTGCGGGGCTTGGGCAGGAGCATCAGCATCTCCCGATGCTGGGAGAAGCCGGAGAGGTTTGCTCAGACAGCGCGGGTGCCACGCGTGTCACCGAGAGCCGCACGGCACACGCCATTCAGGGCTGTCACTCTCCTTCGGTTAAATGAACTGGAAGTGCCTACGGGAGAAAACAGTTATTTGCTTGTCAAGGAGAAGGCTGATGGATGTGGGTTGACTTGTCTAATAGCTCATCATTGCTCCAGCAGATTAATAAACTGATATTATGTTATAGGAATCTGCAGCAGCATTGGGCAAAAGTCAGGATTTCAAATCAGGATACGTTGAAAGTGAAGCGTAAGTCAATAAAAATAATTCTCTTCTTCAGAGCTGGCGGCAACTTTCCTTTGCTCCCAAAAGGCCAGAGTTACGGAAGGGGAAAAGTGAGGGGTGTTGCCATGGGAATGAAGCGTAACCTTTTTGTGAGCAGGGTGTTGCCTTGCTGGGGTACTCCCAAATTTAGTAGTGGTACACATTTTTTTAAAATTTATTTAACACTTGGCTTGCAAAGGTTATGATTTCATTGTTCTGACAAAATAAATCCTGTCACCTTTTAAAAAAATATTGATTCTCTTTCTGTCATTAGCCGAAATACCTGCCTTGGTGAAATCTCAGGGCAACCACAGGAACAACAAAAGTGAGATCTGGTTAGGGTTATCTTCGTTCTGGAATTCCTCTGTGGGGTTTCTGTGCAGTTCTACCTTGCGTGGCAGAACATAAAATAAGAACTGAAATGCAGTAAACATTGATGATATATGGCTGAGTTAATATATTACTGATGATATATTGCTAAGGTGAAGCCTGTAGTAGTGCTGATTTAATGTAAAGAATATTTGCATGCAGCCTAAGGACTTGGGGCAAGGGGAGGTTAAAAAAAAAAAGTAAGTCCAAAACTGTGTCAGCAGCCCAAGTGCTCTGTTTAGAAAACTTGGAAGAATTAATATACATATTTATTGGTAATGCTTGCTTCAAAGTTTACACGGAAATGTTCAAAACTTACAAGATGTTTTGAACTGTAATGCTGTGTGCTGTGTGCGTTTCCATGGGATACCTCTCAACCAGGGGGACGTGGCAGACAGAGACGATGCCTTGCTCTGAGCCAGGCTTCTGGTGGTGGTTTTTTGGAAAGCAGACGTCCCTGGGTCTTATCCTGTTCTGTTGGGCAGCTTTCTGTTGTTGTAGCAATCTGGTGAAAAAAATCACAGCCAAACTTTAGTGTTAATGACCGTATGCGTTGCTGTAAAGACTGTCTCTTTTTTAATGCCACAAATACAAGGGCCGTGCTTTACAGGCTAAAATCCATCAGTCAATCAAAGAAAGAGTACCCCGCAGCCTCAGTGAAATAGATGTAGGAGTCAAACCCTGCTATAATTGGGTTCTCGGGGTTCCGAAGACCCTCCGCGGTAGCCCACGGGGGGGATTGCCCGCAAACCCGCGTAGCACAGCCTTCCTCCCTGCCTGAGCCTTCCTCCCTGCGGGAGTGCGGCCGTGCGGGGCCACGCGAGGCCCTGATGACTCAACCTTCCCGTCACATGGACCCTTCCTGCTTGGCTAAGAAGCACTTAGTTGAATTTTAGATGCCTGGAATCATTAAAAAGGCTGGAAGGCATTTGTGTACCTTGTCCATTAGAAGAAAAATCTGTTTTCTATAACTGTATACCTTCTACAGCCTCTAGTGCAACTTTAAAAAGTAACTGCGTTTTTTGTGTCATTACCTGAATTGTAATGGTTTGAAGCCAGCAGTAAGTTCAGCTTGCTTTCTCCCACACGACGTTGCTGTAAGAGTATGTATTTCTTTTTACCGTTGAAAGAAGAACCTTGTAAGAATTCCAGTGGTAGGAATTAATGTTACACCCATCTGTCTGCATCCTCTTCTGCTTCATCTCTTCCAGTCTTGTCACATCTAGTGCTTTCCTTCCCCCTCCTTGCCGATTGCACTTTTAGGTTGTGTGGGTCTTCTTTCTTCTGAAGATCCGGGTTTTAATTTCCGCCACCCCCTCCCCAGGAGCGCCGGTAAGGCAGGGCATGCAGCGTCCCCAGTGTGTTGGGGCCTTTCCTCCTTCGTTAATAGACCGGGTCCTGCGTAGGCAGAAGGAAAAAAGGGGAGAAGTAGGTATTGAATGTTCATGGATAGACTGAAAGTAAGCATGGTGGAGCATTTTCTGAGCATTTGTAGGCTGCAGAGCTGGGAGGGACTGAATCAACTAGTTTGATGTGGCATTTGACTGGGTTATCCCTTAGGTTGCCCCTCTCGTGCTGTGTGCAGGTTGCTCTTGAATTGCTGCAGCAGTGCTTTTTTTTTTAAACTATTATTTAAATTTTTTTTTAAAGCTTATTTTAATAGGCAATTACTTCACAAGTTAGTTTACATTTTCTTCTAATGACTAAACTCCAGGAGGCTTACAAAATACAGCATTTTTGTTTCTTGGTAAGGGCTCATGCTGAGTTAGCTGGTTTGAGGAAGATGAAGATGCATTGCTGTTGTAGGAGTTGCTGCAGCGTATTGTGTTAATTGCTTGCCACCCCGAGGCTAATTAAAGCCACAGCCATGGAGGAAGATACCCGCCACCTCCGCCCTGTGTACCCTCGGGCGCAGAAAGGGATGGATTTGGTGTGGGTTCACATCTGGCCGGGGGCCAGCATTTGAGATGTCTCCTGCTGACGGCCACAGCGTCTGTGCTAGGAGCCGCTCTTGATGTAATACGGATTAAATTTTCATCCAGATCACTTAATTTCTTCTTCTTCAAGGAAGTGGTTCAGCGTTGTGCCATGTGGGGAGTTCTTACCCACAAAGCTTGGGGCTGACCAGTTCCCTTTTTTTTTTCCTCTCTCTTTCTCCTTCCCCCCGCCCGCTTCTGTTTGGAAAATGTGAATGGGGAGAGGATGGAGGCTCGCTGTCAGAGTAGTGAGGTGAGCTTCATCTGACAGTGAAACAGGGCACGGGGCTGTGATGTTCTGTTGTTTTGGTACAGCTGAACTGGGCGACAGTGCTGCTAAATTTTTTCCAGTGCTTCCCAGTGTCGTTTCTTCCCCTTCCCCCTCTTGGCCAAGCCCTTGGACTTGCCGGCAGAATTGCTCATGTCATCACCTGCTAACCCAAGTCATTGAAATCTTACTGGATGAAACTCCTTTAACAGCACGTGTGTTTCAAATCTTTTAGACATGACTGGTGTAGGGAGCTCTGCCACACCAGCTCTGCCGGCAGGGTGGGGAGGATGGCAGCCTCCGTGCCGGGGCGGTGGAAGGCCAGCGGGGACATTGGGTCTGGCCGTGGTGCCACGGACCGAGGACTTGCAGTGACTCACCTTGCCTGTGCTCGCCCTTGTGTGGCTGATGGAGGAGCGCGGCTGTCCAGTTGATGGCGGAGAAAATGAAACAATCCACGCTCTTCTCAGCAAGCTTGTAGGATTCGGATGTCTCGTGGTTCAGACATGCAGCTGTGGTTTGGATGCAAACGTCCAATGAATTGCACTTAAAACAGCTGAAAAAGTTTCGGGTTTGACTTTCACAGAGGACATGGACGTAGTCTGATCTTTGATCTTAGGCAGCAAAAGGAGTAAAAACCCAAGACACAGAGCAGTTATGTATAAAACAAGACCCTTATTTAGAAGTGTGAGCTGATGTGTTGAGTTTTTTTCCTGATAGGAACATATCCTCGCCCCCCTGCGTGAAATGCTTGGGAAGGACTTGAACGGCAACATATCTCTCCAAAGAAAAAGCAAAATGTCAGGGATGACTTCAAGAGTATTAGCATGGGTGTGCAGGAGGGACAGCTCAGGAAGATGTTGAGGAAGAAGTTGCAGGGTTGCTGTTGTTCAGTGGTGACTACAAAAGAGAGTAGTGCCTCTCTGTTCAGGGCTGGGGTTCAGTCCCAAGGTGCTTTTTTGAGATGAGTGGTCTTTCTGCATAAAACCTCAGCTCCTTTGTTGATGAGATGATGAGAAATGGAAAGAAGAAAAAAAAACCTAGATGGCAGCAGATTTGTAAATTCCTTTCTGGTGTGTTCTGCTTGGGTTGCTTCTGGCCTGGTATTGCTAGCTTCTCTGATCAAAGCCTGTGTTTGCATACCTGCTTCATGCAAGTGATACCGTATATTTGATAAGCCGTGTGGTTATTTATACAGAGCTTGTGGGAAACACAGTGCACAAAATAAACTGTCTGCTTTTCAGTCATACGGTGTTGGAAGGTTGAAGGGAATGGCAAGATTCGTACTTGTATCTATCATTATGTAATGTGTCCATGAAAAAACCCTTTCCTTAACAAAGCCACAGGCAGCAATGGAGTCTTTTGTTACGTATCTCGTATTTCTTTGACTAAAACAGATATAACTGCCACCTCCTAAGCAGTGTGAGCTGTGGAATCTGAGGAAGTGCGAGGGACATGGAAAGGTACTGAGAAGATGTATGCTGTGCTTTGTTGAAGTCCAGGTGTGTGAAGATACAATTTAAAAACAGATTAAAACTGACATGGCATGTTGGTCATTTCAGGTGGGAGTGCTTGGAAGGGAAACTGAGCAGCTGCTCCAGTGTCCTGTGGTGCTGTAGAACAGTCTTCTTCCAGAGGAGCCTGTTGTGTGCAATTAAAACTACAGGGGTAATTTCACAGAACTTGAGAAACCCTGTTAACCTCTCTTGTGTGTGGGTCTGTTCAGCTGCAGAATGAAGAGGAGCCGTGTGAGACTGCGCCGGTGGTGAATGATGCCCCTCCGCCTTACAGCAGCATTTCTGCAGAGAACACAGGTAAATTGAACTGAAAGGAAATAGCTAGGTTTGCACTGTTGTTCTTTCTTAATTGTTCTCCTTATTAATGGATGGCACTGCAGCATCCTTACCAAAGCTGCGAAGGATCAGAATTGATCCAGAGAGACTACAGTTACTTGTGGTTTAGAAGATGCATTTTGGCTACATTCATCTGATGTCATCCCATCGAGTGGTGTTCAAGTTACATTTCACCGTGTTCTCAGTAGATTGAAGACAGTTAAAAATCAAAGTGCTGTGAGGATTTGCGGTTTCCTTCTCATTATTTGGCATTTGGATGATGCTGTGCTCCTTCCAAAGAGGACTTGTTACTTAAAAGGGATTAAAGAATTCACTCTTCCTGCAGTTTTCAATAACTAAGGACTTGGCCATAAGGATTATACTTCTTCTGAATCATCATACTGTCATGTCGCTAATAGCTTTTAGCAAAGCAGCTTCTTTTGTGTTGGTTACGTATCAGAGTATTTTGGCTTAGCTAAGTCGTCTCATTTTTTTTCCCCCCAGAACTTTCATAGTCAACTGTTCAAATAAGATTTGTGAATCACATGTAACATACCGTCAGTCTCTCAAACAGCCAGCCAGCTTTCGATAGAAGCATGAATGTTTTGTTTCTCAAACTGCCTATTGAGCGTCCTGCTTTGGCACGTTAACTGTAAAGATGTCCCATTAGTTCTGGTTCCTTAGTGCATCTCAGCGACTGGGGCTCAGAAAAGCTGTGTTTCTTTTTTTCTTTTTTTTCCCCAATCCCTTTCCCTTTCCATCAGAAAACAGTTTGGAGTCTCTCTCTGGAAAAATTGGTCACTGGTGGCCTGAGGCTTGCAGTGATCCTTCTTTGACTCACTCGAACCCCGTGGATTTGAAAATATGACTACCTCTGTTTACTGAAGTCAGGAGAGACACAGCATGTATCATTGTTTTAAAAAAAAAAAGTACAGCCAGGTGTGATAAAGTAGTGCTCTGTGCATTATTTTATGTTAGAGAAGGTCCTCCCGTGTTTTTCACTTTCTGTTTTGGGATGGCAAGAGGCTAGAAGGGTGGTGAGGGGACAGGAGGGACAGGCTTCAGCACTCTGAGGTGCTAGTGTCTTTTCGAGTCATCTGAAACACTTCTCATTGCCAACACGGTGTTCTTAAGGAACTGACAAGTTACCTTCTACGTAACTTTTGCAGCTTATTTTGACTACAAGGATGAGTCAGGATTTCCAAAGCCTCCATCTTACAACGTGGCCACGACACTGCCTAGTTATGATGAGGCAGAGAGAACCAAGGCTGAAGCCACAATTCCCCTGGTTCCTGGAAGGGTGAGTACGCTTGGCTGGCTGTACGTCCTTCACATTTCTTGTGTAGAATTTCTGGTTTAACTTGTGCCGATCAAGTGTCATGACTTTTTTTTTTTTAAGCTTTCTGGGATGGTGATATTACACACTCCTAAGAGTTCTGTGGCTAATTTTGTTGTTGGTTTTTTTTTTTTTCCCCCCTCTGGGCGGCTATGATGATGTAAGACATCTTGGTAGTGCCAGCATGTGCTATCCAGATTACTCGGGCAAGCTGACAGAGGAACTGTGCTGTATGCGTGTGCACTGTCACTGTTTTTTGGGGGTTTAGTTTTGTTTTGCTTTGTTTTTTTAAAAAAAAAAAAGATTTAGGATTAATTGTTCAACCATCTAGCATATCTACCCTTGATACTCCCTGCCACTTACTTAGTTGACTTTTCCAGAGGTCAGTGTAGCCAATACAAGGATGATAAAAACCATTCTGTCAGAATAATTATTTTTTCATTTTTTATTTCTTTTTGTTTTTCAATGTTATCTCTTGTTCAGCCTCTTCCTCCACCCCTGCTAGCATTAGATGTCCACCGCTCGTTATACTTCTTCATAGAAGCCAAATTCCTTGCTGAGATAAGGGGTTTTTTTTTTGATGAGTAGGGGAATTCTTTACAGTGAGAACAAGAACATGCTGGATCTTGACTATCTTAAATAATTCATATTATGTATACAATATTTCATGCCCTGCATCGTCTCAGGATGAGAAGCAGGAAGCAGGAATTTTTCCTGCTTGCATTTGTAGTCTTTTGAGATTTAGGATTCGGCCCCTGCCGTCCCCACTCCACAGGGGACTTTCCTTAAATGTAAATGAAGCGTTTTGTGTCCCTCCATTGCACGCTGCTTTTTGAGGGCTATACAATTTGCTGCCCCTTTCTTGAGGAGCCACATGCAGAATTGGGATTGCTGTGTGGACTGGACTGACTTAAATGCACCCATGTCTTGCCTCCCTTTGATTTGTAGGATGACGATTTTGTGACACGGGATGACTTTGATGACACCGACCAGCTGAGGATAGGAAATGACGGCATTTTCATGCTGACTTTCTTCAGTAAGTACACGGTGGAACTTAGTTTCCGTTTATTCACTTATGTTTATGTAGCACCAGGAACAATCTGTGTGCAAGGGTTTTATGTTTTTTTTTTTATTCTTGGAATATAAAGAAGGCTTGACCTGCTGCATTTCTCCTGCTTTCTCAGTGGCATTCCTCTTCAACTGGATTGGATTTTTCCTGTCTTTCTGTCTGACTACTTCGGCTGCAGGACGATATGGGGCCATTTCTGGGTTTGGTCTGTCGCTTATTAAGTGGATCCTTATTGTCAGGGTAAGTTGTGTAGTGCAAAAACATGTACACAGACACTGGTACTCTTTTTCCCTAGGTTGTTTTTATCTCCCTTATCCTGAAGTTAGTTATAATTTTAGCTTTTTATAACAAAATAGATTTTTAGCTCCTTATTCACTAAGAACAGTGTTTTTTCATTATTCTGTCCTGTTTATCTGCTGCAATTACTATTGTAATAAAAGAGAATAAAGATTACACACCCAAGTATGGCGCTCTGACAGAGCCACTGTGTTGGATCAAAACGTGTTTGTGTGCTGAGAAGTAACAATGGTTTGGTGTTTGTAAAACACTCATCCAGATAAAGCAAGCCCTGCTGTCAGCACGGGGATGTTTCTCTGTGGTGTTCCTTGGGTAATCCTCTGAAAAATAAATAATTCTCTAAAGTGTGGGCTAGCCGATGAGGGGCGGGTAATAGGGACTCAAAAATGAGGAGGTGTGAGGTTTGCTGGTGACGGAAGGAGGAGGCAGCCGCCGCTGTGTCCCACGGGTGGGAGAAGCCCACTGGTGCCCTCTGGTGCGACCTGCCTGCGGCACAAGCAGGAGGGGATCAGGAGGAAGCACGCTTTCCTGTTTTGTTTTATTTCCGTGTAAACTCTGGGCGTTTCCAGGCCGTTAAAACATCCACTGTGCTCCCCTCCTCCAGATCCCATAGGGAGAGGAAGGGGCTGGCTGATCAGAACTGGTTTGTGTTATGGGAGCCTGGATGCAAAGGTGGGGCCCTGCTGGGCACGGACCTCTGCGAAAGGCTGACGTATTATTTTTAAACTTAGAGGAGGAGAAAGAGAAACCTTTCTGGGGGGAAAAAAAGAAAGGATGTAGATGTGCTGATGCTGGAAGGAATAGGGGAAAAAAAGATCAAACTCTTTTTTTGAGAGACTGTGAGAGAATATCAGAAAAGCTTTATTTGGAGCCTGTGAAAAGAAGGCGTCTGTGAAAATGGCATGCAGACATCCCAGGCCAAATTTTGAATTTTAATCAAAAAGTCTCATTAGCTGTGCAGAAGTAGAGCGCATTAGTGTTGGGGCTGTCACTTCATACCTAATCTCTTTGGGCTAGGAACTGTAGTTTATAAATACAGCATCTGTTAACTTTTTCTGTAGAAAGTTAACATTTTTGAGGTCATCTTGTAACAGTGTTAGGAACTATTTGCTGGCCTAAGAGGTGTGACAGAACCAGGTGACCTTAACTGTGGATTTGATTTAAACTTTGATAACAAGCTTACCTCTTGCTAGGTTTTTAAACTTGAATAGAATGAAAACAAAAACCCTGTATTTACCACTGACATAGTGGTATTAGAGCACATTCGGTGCTCTAATAGTGCCAGTGCCTTTCAATTGGCAGTAATTTTCCCAACAGAAAATCTTGCCAGAGGGTTCCACAGATCTGAGATTTCTTTTTCAACTGTACTTTTGTTTGCTATACAATCCAGCCTTACAGTGTAATTAATGGGTTGCACTGCTGCAAACCTGGTCTTCCCTTTCGGAAACTGCAACTGTGGCTTATAAGCATCAAAGATGTGAGGGAAAATAGGAGTATTTGCCCATAGTGTCTTTCTGCTTCGCTGATTGCAAGAGTTTATGTCTGGGTGTGGAATCTGTTCCATTCTCCTTGGTTAGAGTTGGTCTGATGTGTGTAGAAAAACCTTAAATGAAGGTTTGTGGAGGTAGCTTGTTCCCCGCAGTCCGTGCAGTTGACGAAATGCAGCATTCTGTAAGCTCTCCTGTGTGCAGCGGGCTTGGTCTGGTTGCTGCTGCTGAAGTTGGTGAGGATAGATTTGGGTTCAGAAACTTCCATGTGCTCTAACTTGTATCTATCTATCTTTCTTTTTTCCCCAGTTCTCCACCTACTTTCCTGGTTACTTTGATGGCCAGTATTGGCTTTGGTGGGTCTTCCTTGTACTAGGTGAGTGTTTGTTCAGGGGGGAGGAGGGAATGCATGCGTAAAAACTCTGTAAAGTGCAGTTAGGGCTTTGGTGAGCATGGCTTTGCTGGCTATTCAAATACGTGCGTATAGATGTAAAACTGAAATGTAACCCTCGTAGTACTCCTCTTACTGAATGCCTTCTAGGTTTTAAAGGTACACGTAAACACTGTCCTTTTGTTGTCATTTCTTGGTGGTGGCATCCTATTTATCATCCAGAAGAAGTAAAGGAGAGAACAATGCTTGTCTTCATAGTAACTGATCTTGTATCTGTTCTCATCTTAAATGGAAGAGTGGGGTTGTGGTCTTTCTTTTTTTTCCTTTTGTTTTTCCTCCTTTGGAAGTGACTGGATCTCATTTGGAGTCAAAAGTTTTGCGATCACCTAAGGAAAGTTTGTTTTTGAGATTGTCTGAAATTGAAAGATTAGGTGTCATTGATACCAGAAGAAATTCTTGTGTTTAATCAGCTATTGTGCACCCCAGTGCCTTAGGTCCTTCTGTACAAGTAATGGTGAGTTGAACTACTCCTTCTGTAATTGAAAAAGCAACACCTGTGTTAACTGGACAAATGTGTTTCTTCCATCTAGGTTTTCTGCTGTTTCTCAGAGGATTTATTAATTATGCAAAGGTTAGGAAGATGCCAGATACTTTTTCCACTCTCCCCAGAACCAGAGTTCTCTTTATTTACTAAAGGTAAACTTTCTGCTTTCCTGAATTTGTTCTGTTTTGGTTTTAACTCTATTCAATGACTCTTCTAGGCTAGACTTTTCTTTGCTTGAATATTTTTAGAACAGAAGGTAGCAGAAAACAGTTGTTTCTTGGTGTCCCATACGCAGCTCCTGTTTCTACTGACTCGGTGGGGAGCAGAGGAATACTTAACATTTCTTCCTGAGTTTTTGCTGTGAAGAATTGTATATTCATTAGATTCTATGACTCAAATTGTAACAACAAAATCTCTGCCCCTTAGTATTGCACTGTATTTGGCAAGTGTGTCTTTCAGGATAAATCACATGCCTGAAACACGTGGTATGTCCTAAACGTGAGTAAAGGTCACGAAACGTTGTTAGAAGCTTGTGCCAATGTCTTTGGCTTACATCCCAGAAAGAACGATTTGTCTGAATTTTGCATGCTGTTTGAATTTTCTGCCAAGTTCCTGAAGAAATTAAACTCTTGCACACCTTTGCTCTTTGAAAACCCCTCCCACGTACTTGAACATACTGCCCTGCCTGAACATCTTTCACAAACCTTAATGCCTGAAAGTCTTTCGCTGGGACTTTAAAGAAGGAGGCTTAAGTAGTCGAACCCTTCTAGCATAATTTCCTGCCTACAGCAGATAATGGCCTTGCATTAACTGTCCCTCCCTGAGGGGAAGGAAATCCTGTAATAGGTCGCTTCCCAGATGGTGAATGCAACGTGATGCTCCCTTTAGAAATATCATAATAACACTAGATTTCCCCAAGACAGGGTTGAAGCAACTGCAGCTGGGACAGTGGTATAAAGAAACCAAAGAAATCCCAGCTTTAAATTGAGGGTCGTTAAATTGTTCAGATTTTAAATCTGAGGTTTGATTTTTCCAAATGCACTTTCCTTTTATTAGGAACTGCAAATTGCGTAAGATTCTGCTTCATTTCTAGGCTGTAATGAGAACATGCTACACAAAGCGGCCATTGTGCGGTGTTTTCCAGCTTGAGTTTTCCTCTGGTGATAGTGTGTAAAAATAGTTCAGTCAATTTATTTAAGTGTTTCAGTTCTGTTTAACAAAGTTATGGTTTATGGCCTCCTCCAGGATTTGTAATATCCTCTCA